ATAAAATTCAAGGTTCTAGTTTTAAAAATGACATTCTGTACAACTTTTCATCTCCTCTTTCAACCCCTGACAACCCTTTTTCCATTATTTATGTTTAATCAATAGCCTAAACAATACATTTCAAACTATTAGCTTTAAAATGACGATGCTTCCATTCCACCTTTCAAGGCCCCATTCAACCTTAGGACCCCTTTTTTGCATTAAACAGTTGCCTATGTCCTTTATCAGAGTCTAGACTACCTGTGTACCAAATTTCCTTTAAATCGGTTTAGTAGTGCGTGTAAGCGAGACATATAGACATACAGATAAAGTCACTTTCGTATTTATAATATTAGTATGGCTAGCAGGTCTATATCCCAAGCAATCTTCACATAATACGCCGTGATAGAATTTTAACACAATTTCCGACCTGTTATTCCTTTGTGAGCATCGTATAAGGAATTCTAACGGTGCATGCACATACCCAGAGAGGATAATTTGATTTAAACCTTATATGAAAGGCGTACCCTGTATAATGTCTGCGAATTTGTTTTATTTTATCAAAATCGTGTATAAGCGAATAGGCTGATGGAAAAACCTTTACTGTAGCATATACTGACACGTGTATTATATCAATATCCGTATAATATTGTATATGGGAAAGTATGTTTGTCTTGGATGAACGATTCTTAATAAAATTTGGCATAAAGATAGATGTATCACAATGACGGATGTAGACTATGATTTAGTAAAAAAACCTGATGAAGATGTCGTGTAAATATAATCTTATATAAAGTAGACATCTAGTAAAATAGAACTTCCTGCATTATTTAGATAGTATAAAGTTTATTTTTGATTACCCGAACGACTTTCCTACCATGGTAGGTCATCTCCATTATATATTACCCCTGAAAACCAAGCACGAATTCCTATTTTCCCGAATTGGACTAGCTAACTGATTTGACTATCATCCCCTACTGTTGACCACCTATGTATACCGTCAGCGCAGGCAGGTACGCCCATCCCTTACCATCCATAATAAGTGGCAGAAAGGTATATGTAGTTAGACTAATGAAAAATCAGGTAACATGTATTTCTAATACATTTCATATAATTATTATTGAACAAAACGAAAACAAAGTCAACAAATATGTAGCAATACTGTGTGGAGAAGTTAATCAATAAAATCAATGAAGCCGTACAAATTCATCAAAATATATGAACTGCGTCAATGGAGAGAAAAATGTTGACGATACCTAATCAAAATTGGTCAGTCAGAGTTCACCAAACTTTTCTAATTAGGAGCCGCAGAATAATTTCATTTGCGATTGAGTTACTCATATGTCATTACCATCCGCCTTAGGCATTTCTACCGCGAACCAATAACAAAAAAGTAAGTATATCGCACTTTCTTACATATTTTACTGTACAACTTGAGATATCGAAGTTATATGTACGAAACTTGACGACATTAAAATCTTTGTGTATTACAAACAAAAACAAACTAATTTACCGGTGATGGAATATCAATAGAAAATTATACTATATAATCTCTATAGAAAGGAAAACACAATGAATTGAAACAAGCTTGTATAACTAATATGTATGAAGTAGTTACCTTTGCTTTCCTATATAGCAAGTATGAAAATAACAACTATAACTGTAGCTATTGACATTGTCTCCGATTGCCCCTGATATGGAAATACGTAGCAGTTAACTGTGGTGAGGATATTAATTAATTTTACTTCCTTTTACATTATGGGTAACCAAAATTATATTAAATTAAAATATATTAAAACGAAATTAAATTACTTTGAAGCTTTCTAATGTTAAAGAGTACAAAATTACAATACATTTCGTTATACCTCTTGTTAAGTTGCCTCTAAGGCACAAATAAAGAAATAAATTTGTACAAATAAATATTTATTAATGTAAATGTAATTGTAAATTTATACCAATAAAAATACCTAAATATTAACAATTACATAAACTTAGATTTAATCAGCGGGCCGAAGTTTGGCTCAGCTTCTTTTATACTGTTCAAATGAAACTTTGTACAAAATTTATGGGTGCAATTACGGACAACGTGAATTCAATATAACCTATTATATCGTAGTTTTGGTTAATTTATTATACCGGTTAAGTAGGGTTGCCAGTTTTCTTTATATTATTCAAAAAGGTTCACCATTTTTGTGTCAAAAGAATTCCAACTGAAAAGTTCTTCTGAATTTTGAAATGGCCTTGGACTTTAAAAATTTTAAGGCGTAATACATTTTTCGCTTTAGTCGTAGCCGAAATAAGGGTGGATATATACAAATCTACAATGTTATATATAATTATATATTTATAACCTATGCTTTTGCGATTAAAAACATAAGTAATATTTTCATTTGGCAATGCAATATGGGTCTCCAATAACGGTCGGAATTCGATCACTAATAGGAAAGGTCATATACTCCCAGTAGCGGTCAGCTTTCCGCCCTGAATATTTGTGGTCTCACACATGTTAACACTAACGGAACTAAACAAAATAATATGAATCTATTAAGCTAGTTATTTTACTGATAAATTTCTTTCAAATTTCATACTAGATTTTTCTCACTGATATGTGAGTAAAAACTAGTGTCTTCTATTTGAAAGAAATTAAAATTATCTTTGAAATTAACACAGAGCAGTATTTATATATTCGTTACGTACACTTAGTAAGAAGTCGTCTCCATATCATCATTGTAAGACATCTTCTAATATAAGCTGCTTGGGACACAGGTACCCATCGTGCACATGGGCGGCCGTAATCACTTAAGATTAAGTATATTACAAGATCATTTGTTTACTTGCTGGTTTGTTCTTATTTTTTATTTCATAGTTTAGTTTGTTATGTTTATTATTTCCTGGAGAAAATCCTAATGGAGATGGAGAAAATCCGAGGTAGACGGGTACTCTTACCAGTTAAACACCTCAGGGTGTTCTCCACTCGCTTTTATTACCGGTATCGCATAGGGGGCGCATATTTGCCCCTAATATTATAAAAAAAGTACATAGGTACCCGTAGAAAAAAGTAAGAATAATAAGAGATAAAGACGCTTTCCATTGACAAAATCAGTCAAGAAAAAGGATTTTAGATTTTTACGATTCGTAAAACCGTAACTGGTGTTTACTCGCTTGTAAAAATTAATGAGCCATATATAAAAGACGATCCGTTGTAAATCACCTGATGAGGGCGCCGCCGTGTGATTGGTGACAGATAATCAGGACAAACAGACAAACTAATATACGGCAATAATACGTATATCGGCAATAAGGCCGCCTTATTGTATTTATATCGATGTATTGATACATGTAACTATTCTCTTTTAATATACAATGCAAATAAAAACATATTCTATCTATGACTTAATAAATGAACCAGAGACTTCATTATAACTTTGTTGTCTATAAACCTTTTAGAATAAAACACAAAAGAAAAAAATACTTACTTCAATATATTAGTGAAAATGCCATCCAAATTGTTGAAGTTGTTTCTGAGATTAAAACAAACGCACATGCGAAAAGACAAAAATTCCAACAATATTTTTTTGGTTACCACTGATGAAGTAGCCTAATTTTTAGAATAGAAAATTCTTTATTCCTAGAATGTTAAATGTAAGCACTTATGGATAGATATATTTTTTTTAATCTACCGCTCTTTCGGAATGATGTCTCATCACAAGGAAAACGAGAAAGAATTTTGCGTTGCCCTTTTAAATAATTGTTTAATTTTACATTTTTAATTTATATCGTATACGTAACTACCAACTAGCACTAATTAGTTAGAGTTAAAATATTAAATACACAACCAAATGGTTAAGTAACTAAATATGATTAAATCAGTCGTAGTGGAGAGCGGACCGGTCCCTCGTTCACGAGTATGACGAATCCATGAATTGGATTTCAAATACTCTTGGCATATTCAATCTGATATCCTAATACGGGTTTGTTTAATATGAGATAAGTAAAAGGTCATGTAAAATAAAAACAAATTCACATAAATAGCCTTATATTTGAAAAGGTCTCTTCATTATGAATCGATGGAAACATCAAAGTAAAGCTTATGTATATACATAAAGGTCTTATTTTGAAATGACTTTAAAAAGAACCTCTCTATTGAACTGTGTAGTGAGACCGTCAAATACAGACGATTTAGCACACCGCTTTACTTCAAAATGGTCATGGGTTCAGTTCTTTGCACGATGCACATATTTGTATTCATTAGTACCATTTTAATGGTCTGTGTTGATTTTGATTTCTTGTTGTTCTGTGTTTTTCTAATTATATGTATATATTAAAATGCTATCAGTTTTCTAGTAGTAATAACACAAGCTCTGCGTAGCGTGGGACTTGAGGGCGTTGAGTTGTCCAGCCTATTTTTTTACTATTTGTTACCTTACTTCGATCTTTCTGTCTCCTTGTTTGTTAGTTATCTAAAACCTATCGCTGACATATTTTTCGTTTTATTATCGTTTAGTAAATTATTAATAGTAACTTCATAATTTATACATATCTACAAATAAGTTTTAGCTATATCTCTACGTCAATCGTAGCACACTTAAACAGGGCTTGTACGAGTATATAGTGCAGGTTCAATTGATAGCCATACTTAAAAATAATCCATTTCATTTAGGAGAAACATATCTATTTAAACTATAGAAAATGCTCTGACAAATACAAACAGACGATTATTATTAATTACTCGAGATTACTTGTATTAACCGGGAATCGAACATTCAACTGGAATTGAAGCAATATCTACAACACGATTCCAGGGATATGGTCGTTAACGGCCAAAATATTATAGACTTTTATAAAATTACCTTTGCTATATATTGTAATTATAATTAAAAACAAAACAATCATACGTTGATTGTTATACAGCGAATCCTTAATGTATCAAAGGTATTGATGATAGTCACATATTAAATTCGGAAAACCCCAATCAAAAGGTTCAATTACGAACGCCTACTTATTCTTCCTGACATGCAGAGCCGAGTACGTGTGCACAGCTCCCCCTGCGCCTATATACTACTCTCTTTTCGGCCAACACGACCACAGATAACTCCCACCCTTTCTAAAAGACACCCACTCTCAGCGAGCTACACCTACGTTGCTACAGCCCCTGTTTTCAGTCCACAATCTCAGTCTAACCCCCGACGCCGCGGCGAAAACGCGTAACTGACAATAATTTTGCCTAAAATAAAAAAAAGATCCGGCTGCTCTACAGGCCAATTTCGGAGCCATTTCCATTATTTGAAATTCGAACACCAGCGATGACTTTTTGACGATTAATAAATAAAAAAAAAAATAACGGCAAAGACATAAATTTGTCTTCCATATAATTGATGACAATAAATTCGACTGAATTATTCTATTACTACAGTATATAAAAAAGAGATTTTAATATTATTATTGTAAGACATTGTGTTTTATTGACCAGGCGAGCGATCTCAGCGTGAACAACAGGTTAGTCAGATATTTATTCTATATTAATGTATTATTTAACATAATTATTTAAAAAAATAAATAATAAAAATGTGTTCACGTATTGTAAGCCACGTTGGGTTATTTTAATGCTAAATAAATTGAGACTAACATTTACTATTATGTGAAAATAATTTGATATATTATTATTATATTTATAATAAATAGTTAATAAACAAAATCTTACCAATTATTCCACAGGAGTTAAAGCACACACGCGAATTCCTATAAACTGATTTTATACATGAAATGAAATCATGAAATATTTTCATTCCTAATTATAATATTTAGTAGAATTGTAATAAAACATAATAATTATTAAACTAAAGGTAAACCGCGACTTCGTCTACCATTTTTGAGGTAATATATAGCTCATATCCATTCTTGTAATACAATCAATCTTCTTTTTATATTTCATTAAGATATGTTCAATGTTAAGTCGTGTAAAGGACAGATAGACAGACAGATAATTTCTCATATATTATGTTAATATACATTAATTTTTAATTTGATATTTATATTTTTTATCGTTTTTTGATGATGTCGTTATTGGGCGTCCGTTCTTTGGTTTTTGCCTTTTTCAATTCATTCCGATTTTGAAAATTCGCAATTATTTTAATGTATGAAAGAGTAATAAACAGATTTACGTATTTATAATAAATTAGCGATCTGCCCTGAATTATACACATAAACCTCCCACAGAAATAACACTGTTGATAGATGAAAACCGCATGAAAATCTGTTCAGTAGTTTTCAGTTTATCGCGAATATATAGACAGACGCTTTGTATTTACAATATTTATGGATTTACATATTTTTCTCTATGATATTTATCTTTGTCTTTATCGGGGAGGAGAAGAGGTTATTATAATAGTTATTCAGGTTTTTATAAAACGATCATTTGATGAAAAAAATGTATTAAATATTGATCCTGTTAGATCAATATTTAATACATTATTTTCATCAAATGATCGTTTTATAAAATTAGTGATTATTCTATTTAGTCTCTTATTATTATCGTTACTGGTATGTAACTTGTTCCTAAATATCTGAGTATAATAAGAAGTAATAATATGTTGGATTATTTCTCTCTTCCTTCATTTTGATTGATGAGTACGGAACGAGCGAAAAAGGTTTGTTTGATTTGGTATTCTATTATATCTGTCTACCTCAAAAGGATGCATGGTTTATATATAAGTGTTGTAGTTTTATTTTATATGTGTATAGGTAAAAGGAAAACTATAGAAAAATACTTGAAATACGGAAATATATATTAGGATACGATTGACAAGACTGAATTGAAGTATATACAAGAGTGTACAATAAATTTAAATACAAATTTAGATAAAAAAATACATTTCCGATTAACAATAACTACTTAAAGTATGAGTCTATTCGAAGGTACAATATTATAGTAGTACCTGTCCTTTGTCCCTATCATGCATATAAAGGTTTAAAACGCGACCAAATGCGCTGAAGTCATCGCAACTCTGTGGGGTAAAAGCATTTAGTTGCCATTGCATCGAAAGAAAAAGAAATACGTATTGATACAAATATAATAAAAATATTGAGAGAGGATTTTGTTATGCGTAAACTCCTGATTCACTGCGAGATTTAAGAAATTCTTGCAATGTTTGAAGGGTATGTTATCTACAATTGACATATCATAAGAGTCTGTAATAGACCTATGTACATGAATAAAGATATGTTGAATTTGAATTGATGTAGCGTTTATATTATGCTAATATCAACGAAATCGACAAAGTGATGAGTACTCGAGCGAAGCCGAATATTGACTAATTACTAATTATATTAATTCTTTAATAAAACTCAAGAATTGTAGATTGCGACTTGGAACTAAAATTACTACGTTATTAGATATGTTGTGTTCCGACATGTGATAAACTTTTTAAATGCAATTACAGAAATTTCTGTCTATTTGTGTTTGAATCATATGAAATTTGAATTAAATTTGAACGAGACGAAAAGGGAAAAGAAATTTGGTATGAAGAAGTAATAATTTATACAGTAAGGACAATAAAACTCATTTTAATAAAAAAAATACACTATACAGAGTAACTACTAAGCAGACGAAGTCAGTTATCAACAGGTTTATCTAGGAATATCAATAAATTAATTTTATTCATATAAAATCAACCAGGAACCAACAGAAGCCAGTAGTATATCTATATAATATAAAAAAAGAGCAACAGGCAAGTTTCTTTCTCATTCTTATTGTGCCGAATTTGCATTTCGAGTGGATGGTAAAATAAAAAAATATTTCTATTCAAAAGTGCTAATGCTAAGTTTATTAGAATAAACTTTGTTTCTATTTATATATATCTATTCATATATACATATCCTCTTACAAAACACCATAAAAATTAATTCAGTAGTGTTGAAGATATCGCTAGAATAAAACAGAATAAAGTCTACTTGCGAATCTAGAACTTTCGCACATTGATCCCTAATGGAAGATATGGACTACAGATGACATAATAACTAAGTTCAATCTCAGATAGTTCGTAAATAAAATTGCGTCGGCGTTTATTGTTCTCGTGTTTGCGAGTTCTCTTTTGTTTGTATTTCTTTAGTTGTTAATGTGGTGGAGAACGCACCTATTGTTGCAAGTGTTAGCGCTTATAAAGTTTATCCATTCAGAGAATTATAATGTGCCGATCGGGGAAACTTTTTAAAACTTTTATACATACATATACAATATATATAATGATTGAAAAATCTATCTATATATGTACAGATTTTTTTATCTTTATTATGAATCACGCAAACGATCCATAGAATTGAATGTAGTTTTCAGTGATTTATGTACTATATAGTTAGTAGGTTCTGACTTAAAAATATCTTATTCCATGTTATGCAAGTAAGGTCGACTGATTTGAAAATGATATATACTCTAATAAATTTATATTTCGTTATTGAAATTTAAGATGATCATCTGTTAAGAAGATACTCCTTTAAGCGTATATGAACGCAACTTTTTCAGTATATTCTACATCTAATTAAAATTGTGATATTTTGTCGATGGGACAAAGCAACTAATGTATAGGCATAAATATAAAGAAGGCGGCTGCTAAAGCAAGAGGTGGTGTTAGTCGGATATTCTTTAAATAACTTTGTTGTAGAATTGTACTTTATCTTGTTAATGTTGGTAGAAAACATATTGTTGCAAGTGTTAGCGCTTGTAAAGTTTGACCATTCAGAGGTAAATTATAATGTTGTCGGCCGAGGAAACCTTTAAAAGTTTAATTTGCCATTATTCGTGCCACATTTAAATTCATTCCTTATTTAAACCTTTTAACCCTACACGTACACACTTTCCTATTATTTATCTTGACGTTTATCTTGAAGTTATATTGTTATTAATTAATTTAATTTCTATTAATTGGCGATGAAACCGCCTTTTGTTTTAGTTATAATTATATTTTTATGTGCAATAAATTATATAAATAAAAAAAATAGTGGTGTTCATATGACAATCGTGATTGTAAGGCATATCTAGGTAGGAAACAAAATAATACTAAAAACGTAACTTGTAGAAGTGACTATAACTCTGTATTAATAAGTTATTGAATTTTTAATTTAAATTTGTTAGAATTCAAGTTAATTTAGGCTAAAGTTTATCACGTCATCCAATTAGAGGGCATATGGTCATTTATAAGAGTTGTAACTGATCGGACTGTAACAGGGACCTGATGTTCACATCTTAGTCATCAGGAAAGACCACTTATTAGTACCACAAATATCATTTGACGTCGTGATTTCAGTATTAATGTCTATAGGCGAAGGTTTACTATATTATAGACCATCAGTTTGTGCTATTCTAGTAATTAGAGTACATAAATTATGTGATAGAATTTTAGCATTACCTAAAATAAAGTAATATTTCCCTGAGTATAGGCCATTCACAGTTGGTTCGGCAATTTTTCGCATAATGTAACAAATTGGATGGGTGGCATTTTCCGGCTTGTTAAACATAATCTAACAGTCTGGAAAATTATTCGTCGAATATACTAAGCACAAGCTCTCAACGATAATTTTACATGGATAAATATGATAAATTATAGTCTTACATTCATTATACTGAGGTAGATTTTGTACTATGTCTACCGAATACCTTTGTGACGTTTATTTTTGTCAAGTTGTAAGCTAAGAGTGTTGTGTTAGCTGTTTTTCGGTTTAAACCTATCATCTTTAAACTTGTGTCTATACACGTAAATATTTCTTAACATAAAAAAAAAATACCGAACAGATCCAAGCTCCAATTGAACAATCTCATTAAAATGTATATTGACTAATAAACACAGATAGATTCTATGTTTAAAATACGTTTCAAATTTAAAGTGATAATGTTTGAATCTTTTTAAAAAGTTAATGGAGAATTTAAAAATAGAAAGTAATAAATACTTAAAGAATAGTATCTAAGAAATATCTTGAATACTTCAGCCATTAAAGAAATTCCGATTTTATAAAAAAAAAACGACGTTTAAGAGGGGACGTGATAACAATATTTTCCGGCCGATGGTCCATTCAAACGTAACATGGTGGATTAAAGCAACAGAACGGCGGAATTTTTATGCTTATCGTTTAGGACTTAGATTTTTTTTTATAAAGACACGAAAGCGGAAATTATCTCATTTTGTAATGGTTGTAAATCATGAGGATAGGTACATCCATTGTTTTATCCGTTTATCCTTTTCTTATTTTTAGGTATACACGATAAAATAGTGAAGTCATGACGAGGTTGAAATTGTTTGTTTGCTGGTTTATTTGTTGGTGTGTAACTTTTCCTAGAGACGTAAGCTTTATTGTGATATCAAATAACCAGTGTTCTTTTGCTTCTCAAGTTCGATATCTCTATTTTTAGAATGATTTATTTTTATTATTTGACCGTTGAAATGTATTTTTTTAAATTTTGTCCTGTACAGAAAAATCATACGAAAATCTATTCCAATAAAATAGAA